GTTTCATAGTTAATTGTCGCTCAATAAGATCTTTTGATAATAAAGACCAGGATTTCGAGTACACAAAGAGTCGTTGTCTATTTGTTTTTGCAGTATCAATGACAACACTTACAAGAGATAGGATATCTCTTTTATCATATAATTCAAGGTCAAGGTCAACTTCAGCATTGCATGCATCTTTAATATATCTGTTAAAGTTTTGAGGTCGTGTTCGTCGGTAGTGAGTAGGAATTGTTAAAGAGGTTTGTTGAGAACTACTTTGTATAATAATTTGTATTTTGTTGTTTTGATGCTTTTGATGAAGTAAAATATCAATCGGCGTCTCACTCGAGGCAGATTAATTATTAGTCAAAATGAATCGAAGAAAATCAAGATGGTCTACTCCATCTCAACCCTCGAACGCAACAGTTATATATATCTAATTCCAATAAGACGTGGCACAAACAGAGGTCATTGACTTGTAGTGCTTTATGCGTCTAAGAAAGGAAAAGCGGTACATCTGAGATAAATTACCAAAGAAAGTGACATACTATTATTTTAACAAGGAAAAAAGCGAAAGACATGGTGACTCCAAGTTTTAAAACACCAATAGTTTCATAGACTTCTCTTTTTAATTAAGTACAAATGTTTGATCTGTTTGAAAACGGAAAATTGGCTGAAACGTTTATAAATTTCATTGACTCCTCCTTTAATGAGGAGATGAATCAGATTGCAAGCCGAAATTAGTTAATATAAATTAATTAAACATTAATTTCGGTATAACCCAAATGTGGTAAATTTTAATTAAACTTAGATTATTAATAGAATTTTAAGTAAAAATATGATCCAAAATTAGTAATTTTTAATTAAGTTTAGACTATTAATAGAGTTTTAATTAAAACATAAATTACTAATTAAGTGTGGGAAAATATTTAAATTAAATATTTCCAAAATAGGGCAACAAGTATGGAACCTTAATTACCCGGACGATCCAGGTCGGAAAAACAATTTTTCAAAAAAGGAAATTCTGCAGCAGTTGATCTATATTAAGATGTGAGTCATGATGATTAATTCATCACATGATGATCGACATCGGCATGACTCACATGTGACTGTAACCTGTGAGACTAA